GATTAATGATCCAGCAATCAAGCCGATTCAAATATTCAGTGATTTGCCATATATCCATGATACAGTGAATTGGATAAGTTTAAGTTGTTTGCTGAACAGATCTGAGTGAGTGCGAGAAACGACAATCCATGGTTATAGTTCAAAAGTACTATCGAACAGGTATTCTCGCGCTAATCGATCTCAACTCAGTGCATCTTGAACTACTGATCACAGCGCATCAAAGTTCAATGTCCGCTAGTCAGATGTTCTTATGGTTTTCAAAATAATGAACAAACAACAGAAAGTATACTGAAACCTAAAGGTTAACATTCAGAATTGACAAAGAAAAAATGTACAAACAGTTAGGTTGGAACAGTAAAAATACACAAAAAGCAATGACGGTATTGAAGAAAAATGCCATTTCATTTCATAAAGCCGAATGTTTCAATGACATTTCTCGTACTTTAATGTAGGCGATTCGCAAATGATTCCGATCAGCGACATTGATGATCATCAAAACAAGCAAACCATTTACGATTTTAATGCTTGTTGGTGAGGAAAATGATGAAATATGACAGCCAATGCGCTCATAGGGACAGTGATGTTATCAATGCTGGTGAATGATAACGATACGAAAGACGATATGAGACGGAACCGAGTTTTTGTACGAACGAAATCAACTGTTCTTGTGTCTTGTGTAAACACATGGAAGAAGTGTTTGTGTAAACGCACACAAAATTATTATTCAATAATACTTTTGATTGGTGTTTTCTTGTGACATCATTCATTGTAAGATACCAGCTCTCAGAAATGCTTCACTACCCGAATCGAGTTCCGATAATCATATTCGTCGCCTGTATAACCCAGATATTGGGACAACAATCCATAGATACCTTACAGTCACTTCAAATAGTAAGTTATTCAATTTGCTTGAGAAATTCATCATTTTCGATTGATTTCATGATTTCGTCATTGAACACACATGTTGTGCAGATTGCATTTTATTGATTCATGAGAATGCGTGTTGTGAAATATTTTCCAGTTTATAATCGTGAAGATTTGATGCCATAATTTTTGGGTCATATTTTCATCCAATTGATTTCAACCTATTTTAATGTTTTCATAGTTGAAACCATTGTTATTTCCATCGTCAAGTAATCTTTAAGCATTGATTTCGAAACGACTTTTGTTTTGCAGCTTTTCAGGCACGGCGAACGAGCACCTACTAAAATACTCATTTTTCCAAANCACTGATGATAAATGAATGTTACAGGATGGAATCATGCAAGAGTATCAGTTGGGGCAATACATACGCACAACATACGATAAGTTTCTTGGAAAGCGTTATATACCATCTCAGGTGAGTGCTATCCAAAATGGAAGTTGCTTAAAATCGCAACGATTAACGGACCATCTCGGTATTTATTAGCCGAGGGTTTTATCAATGCACTCATATGGATAATCTTCCTCAACATCAATTGAATTCATGTGATTTGATTAGTTTAAGCACGATTATATGATCGTATTGCCACTTGATGAGACATTTGATGCTAAGTTCAGTTTTATTTGAAACAAAAACTATCTGAAATTTTTCCGTTATGAATTCATTTCATCTAGTTCACTGTGCTTACAATTAGCGTAAGGCGTTTTTCAGATTCGAGTGCTAGCCGGCACCGATAATCGAACAGTGGTCAGTGCACTCAGTGTACTCGCCTCGCTGTTTCCGCCTGAAGGCGATCAAGTTTGGAGTCAACTTCTCAAGTGGCAACCTATCGCCGTTCATAGTCAACCAATATTAGACCAGGTCAGAAATGCTGTCTGCGGCTGCTGCACGACTGAAACCCCGAATCAGCATTTTTGCTCACAACATTGAACTCGAAAGCATATCCTGAATCATTATTCAACTGTTAAGCAGAAGCTATGCATTGAAATAAATCTTTGAGATCAAGCAAGTTGAGATCGATCGAGAGCAAAATGAATTGATAATTCGTTTATGATTGATAAACTGATCGTTAGAAGATCGATTAATGCCAATAATGAGCACAGTTTCGCTGTTGATATGGAAACCTGGAAATCACTAGGGATGTGAGTCTGAAATTTCACTTCTCTAGTGAGAAACGCTTTCCATCTCATTTGCAGTTTGCAATCGGAGCGTTTGATAGTTGTCCAAACTTAATGGACACCTACCAGAATACAGATGTTTATAAGAAGATCGCTGCCGATGATACACCATTCAAGCAGTGGTTAACTCAGATGACTGGTATTGAAGTGAATGATCCAATAATCTATAATCAAGTGCTTGATTGTCTTATCTCAAGGGTCAGTTGATTGGTTCATTGCAATCTCACCAAATTGCCCATATTCGCTTCCCCATATGATACTGAATAAAATAAATCGGATTGTCGAGTTCGACTGTGCGCCAGTAACGCTATACGAGTACTGGAGTAGTTCAAATTTAGGAGAGCACAGAAGATTTTGAGATGGGAAACAATAAAAGTTGATGTGAACGGATTAAGATGGCCGGGTGATCTTTTTGTATTCCATACAGAGGAAGACATTCTTCCGTCTCATATTCTTACTCTCCAATCCTACTCAACTGATTCAGTTTGTTCATCGCTATTACCGTGAAACGACTGCTATATGCATATGAAACAGCATTTGAGATATTGAATTTACCCATTCGAAGATTATGACCAATATATGATTGATTAGTTACGCCACTCAACAATTTTTCAGACAAGTCTCAAGGATTTACCACCGCCAATGTGGGCACAAAACGATACCATTCTAGGAATGATTTCAGAAAGGCATATTCGTTTGAACGCCCAAATTACAGACTTGATCTTAGCGGAAAGTGGAGGTTCACTGAATTCATGATTTTTTTATTGACTCACTGTTTGAATTAATCAAATCCATCTAAAACATATGCGTGGATCAGTTGACCACTGAAGAAGTTAATCGTGATCTATCAATAACAAAAGACACATGGAGCTTCGAGGGACTAGATTTCACGATAATTATCCTGTTCAATTGGCCGATGAAAAGTTAATTATGACCTCAGTGGATGTCGATGCTATGCGCAGAGTTAGATATGCAAATGCTGAAGTGACTTTCAGGATGGCTGTACAATCTATTTGTTGAAGGAATTGAAAATCGTATAAACAATCTGACAAATCATAAACTTTTATTGTATGCAGCGGTTAGTTAACGGCTAATAATTTCATTTATGCTTCAGATTGACTAATCTCTCGGTTTTCACTGAATGATTTGCGTAAGAATAATACGAAATTATTCGCAGTAATCAAAAAATAATTGGATAAGCGAAAAATATCAAAGATAATCAAGACCAACTTATATACGATCCCTCAGGAATCGTTGAATTTCAGCATGACGGTAACATTTTAACATTTGGAAAATTCTTCGCAATCCCACAACTCAGTACAATGCCACCGTTTGGATCAGCCATTGTGTTGGAACATCATCTCAGGAATGGCGATCACGTAGTTGAGGTAAACGTTCTTGAGCCCACATTCATAGAGTACTTCGCTAAGATTTGCTAAATGCGACCGAAAGCATATGGAAAAATAACGACCTGAGATGTTGAATGATAGCATATTTTAAAAAATAAGCATTACTTACCGACAGGATATATGTTTTTCGAATAACTGAGAATCTCCTCTATCAGATGGTTGCAAAAAACTGATAGGTTACCGGACAAACCTGAGGACCAAAGTTCCTTGAATGTAGTACTGAAATATAACATTAGTCATATATTGGTGATAATCGGATATATGACCTACCTCACAAAATTGATCATATCTCTATTAATAGGCAGATTCCGTCGACAATATATATGTTTTTCGGATAGCTGAGAATCTCCTCTATCAGATGCTAACAGAAAACTGATACGTTACTGGATAAACCTGAGGACCAGGGTTCCTTGAATGTGGTGCTTCTCTTTTGNGACGCAGATTGCAATCCCAGGATGCGGTGATCCATGTTTATTCAATGATTTCAAACGTATGAATCGAAGATTCTCGACATCCTCATGGACGTTTCTATGCAAAGGCGATTCAGAGTTGTGTGAAGATTATTCGATCGTTTTGGGTGAGCGAAATTCATCGATTCTTTTCAATGAAAAGAGACGTCACGTCACTCCTCTGAGTGTTACACATATCAAATGATCGAATCAGCTCAAATCAGCTGGATCATTTCAATATTCTAGTTGAGAAGCAGTGATGTGATATATAGTGGTAAGAGAGCCATTCTCTATAATTATTTTTTGTGCTGAAGAACGGTTTGTGAAGTTGATAATTTGTGATGTTGTTATAACTGACCAAGGAATAAGTTCATCGTAAAGGCTTCCGTCGGATTTTTTGACTTTTGAATTCGGAAATTTTAGTTTCAGTCACTGAATTTGATTGATTACAGCGACAATGGTTGGTCTCACAATAATGCTCGGCATTCTGACGGTGCTACTTGTCTTCGTTTGNCTTATCGGAACCGTCTGAACAAGCTGCTTGACCCCGAGCAACAGTCCTTACTCAGATGAATACAAATGACATGTTTGAATAACTCATCAACGAAAGTAATGAATTACTGTTTTCTTCAAATATACATACGGCCTATTGTTTCGAAAGTATTGCGTTAAATGAACTGTCTAAAAATGATTCGATCTTAACGTGATGAGTCCTTACTGAATACTCACTGTATCATCGATATCGCCTTTTGATCCTACGATATAAATGAATTTTGATTGTGTTGGTTCGATAATGTTCGTTCATGAAATTGAAGGAAAACGGTCGTTTTTATGCGTGCTTTAAAGATATTACATTGTGGAAAATTTCACTTGAACTTACAAATATCTCATATGTCCAATTCAAAGAAAAACTGACAGTTAACTGAGTATGGGAACAGTTAAGTTAATAATATGTGAGTGTGGTTTGTGGAATACCAAGCAATCGTGCGATATCAATTCCCATCTATTCATTATTAAATTTATTTATTTACATGGATTCAAGATGAACAAAAGCCATACGCACATAGTAACAGCGTTGAATAACATTACACAAAATGATGGTGAAACGTTACAATTACCGTACTTGAACAACAAAACAGTAACAACAATAATAATGGTAATAACAATAATAATAAAACAAGTAATCGTTCCATTACCAGTGTTAAAGTTGGAGAACTTAATAGTGATGAACTCATAATTAATATACTTAACCTTTAGATATGAACAACCTATAAACGCGCGCTAGAGTTCACCGGAGAGCAACAACCTCGGCATTTTCACGGCTTTGCTATTTCTTGACGATTTTGCTTCCGGAGTTTCTAGTCTCAGCCCTCCTCCCATATAAATTATTCTCCAATACGGTTCTCTTCAAGGAGCGAAAAGTTGTTATCCGACAAACACACATACACAATCTCGGGTGAACTGTTCAAATTTTTTAAAGATAAAGTTAAAGTAAGAACAAAAGATAGGTAGGGTGAGGATGATACACGTAAACGTTAAGAAGTTAAGTGCAACAAGGCAAGAGGATAAGAAGTTCCGAAAATGCAAATCCAGTTCATTCCAGACGAAGTGCTCTATCAACATTTGTTTTGTCATGAATTCGCAGTCAAAATCATTTTATCAATGACTATCCACTAAATGACTAAATGATTTTCTCGCTCGATGTATACGAGTGATCAGTCTCACAGATCGACAGCTGAAATCTTCCTGAACGAATGCATCCTGAAAATCCAGTCCAGAGATATATTTCCAAAAATATATTCATATCCTGGATATCTACACGTACAGATAGTAAAAGTAATTAATGGTAAAGATAAGTGCAAGCCAATAATCACAACAGAGAAAGAATAACCAAGACAGATCGACAGACGCATGAATGAATACCGTCAACAGGACGAGGTCAGATAGTATCAGTAACAATTTGATCCGAAATTTAGAACAAATTTTTTTCTCGCGTTCAGATAAGACGAATGAAGCAAAAACAAAACAAAAAAGGGTAAGTGATAATGGTCTCAGACGTATACAAACGTAACTTCAAAACTACGATAAATTGTTGTCAACTTCATTAGAGAACTTTTTGAGAGTTCATTCTGAAAACAAGAAAGGTGAATAACACTGAAAACAATAATAATGAGATTTAAAATAATAACAAAATAAAATTTGAAATCGTCAGCATCCAAAGAAATCATCTCAGCAAAATCAAGGAATGACGATCACCACCTTAATACTTAACACTCAACTGCTTGTTACTAGTAAGATGTATCAGCATTATACATCATAGATTTAGTCACAATTATGAGCGGAAGATATTCACGTTCACTTGGACAAAACCGAGTCAATTAGAGCGAAAACATGAAACATCACGTAAAGTTGATCGCAAATGAGTAACAATGCAAAATTAAATGCATACGTCAAGCATGAAATATACATTGTGTATATATTTAATTACTAACACGAAAAATGTGAGAATTACCATTTTTGGATTCATTTTATCATATGAACATAAATATACATATGTAAATCTATGTACCAATCAAGTTTGTTTGAAACAGAACAACGCAAAATTTTCATATGAATTACATGTTGTACAAAGAGCAGTCAAACGCGCATTTACACG